TATATATATATATATATATATATATATATATATATATATATATATATATATATATATATATATAAAGTATATTAAATATATAAATTATTTAGCATCAGTGTGCGCGAGAATGATATCAATCATACATTAGGCGTTTTTTAATGATTGATGATAAAGTCATTGACTGTATTTGTTCTGTGAACGTTCTAGGTCAAAAAACAAACAAATTGAAGAAAGAAGAGAATATTGACAACCGTATCGTGAGGTAAATTTTTTTTTTTCCAAGAAAACGGTTTCGATTGAAAGTGCAATCTCTCCCCACGTCCCGCCCTTCTCCCGCCCCTGACTAATTGTTAGATTGAACCATTAATTAATTTTTAATCAAAAGAGAAAATGAATGAAACGAAAAATTTGTATAGGTAGAGTGTAAAAGTTCAGTGGGAATGAGCCCTAAAAAATGTGTGGAACGGATAAATTACATAATCATCGTGATTCATGTTATATCGTTTGTATTTTCCCCTCACCTTCTCTCAACCCCTTCTTCCCTCATTATAGATATTTAAGCTGTTGATGTTATTTTTATTATTTCTTTTTCACTCGAGTTCTTTTTTTCTTTCATGTTCATTTCTCCAATTTTTCCTATAACTTTCTCGTTATTTTGTTGCTAACGTATGTTCAGCTTTCACAAGAACATGAACAAAAATACAGAGAATGAAAAATGGAGAATAAGAGATTTGTGATGGAAATGAAAAAGAAAAACAAGAAATGAACAAAAATGTAGAAAAATACTTAAGGCCGTTACCAATGTTATTATTATCATTTCTATTATTAATAATTAATTATTACAATTATTGATTGATTGTGAAGAAAAATTTATAGTAATTATTGAAAACTTCATTTTTTCTCTTAGTTATCAAGATGCTCCATCAATTAAAATCCTCTGTAATTATAATTACGATTGATTGATGATTAATCTTGAGAGCACGTAGCCAAAAAATTTTAATGGAAAATGGAGAAAACTACTATAAATAAGCGAACAAAAGAAAGAACGATAGATGATCTTATTGGTAGATCATGAGAGTTTTATACATATTCTTTTTCTTCTCTTTTTTATAAAAAAAAAATTCACGACATTGACGAATTCTTCAATGCTGTGTGAATAAATTATTTTATAACATTACCAATTCACTGGTAATTGTAAAATAGGCTTTATTATTTTATTCATTATTATCATTATTATTATTATTATTATTGTAATATTACGTTTTTCATTACGGTATATTACTAATTATTATTGTCAATTTAACATTTTTTTAATTATATCATTATTATTATTAAACTATTAATTATTATTATTCTACAAATCCAAAACGGCTTGTGAAGCCAATGTGATAGAGCTTATGTGCGACGTGAGAAAGAGAGAAAAAGAGCGAGAGAGAGACAATGGGATTGTGCCCAAATCCTACAAAAAAAAACATAAAGTAGAAAAGAAGAAAACCAGTGTATATGCGGGCTGAGAAAGAATGAAATTTATAAAATAAATTAAAAAATCGTAATACGTAATTTCTCAACTCGCATTCTTTGTAAATAAAATATTGTATGTATAAAAAAAAGAAGTAAAAAATGAATCGAAAAAAATAAGAACAAATTGGAAAATAATTCTCTGATTACATACATTATACCCACACGATTATTAATACGAAAACAAAACTTGTATTATACTATATTTACTTATCAGTCACAGTTAGCAATTATTGAATAGGTATTCCTACTGACTTGAAATTAAAATAACAATTTTAAAAGATACAACTATTGCATAATGGCTACAACACAGAAAAATCGAGAATCATGTGTTATCGATAGAAAAAATAAAGAATGAAAGAGTTGGAATGACCATAATGATTACAATTTAAAATAAGAAATCATGAAGAGAAAAAAATTACGTCATCAAGAAAGATGAAATTTTGAGATAAAAGTATCGAAAAAATTATTCTCGATATTGCACATCAAAGTGAATATTTATCAGACGAACTAATCTTCAGAATTAAATTCTAGTCTTCAATTCATAACAGAAGAAACTCATAAACTCATTCGAGTTTTGTTTTTCAAATGTTTTCGGATTAAAAACAACCGTACTGAACAAAAGGGGCATTGCGAAAGAAAGACCAGTGAAAAATTTTCCGTCGTCTTAGAATTTTCTTTTTTCCTTCTTTTTCCATGTAAATAAACAAATGTCTCATATTATAATTACTGAAATGCAGATATCTCGCTCTGACGGTTGTACAAAGAGGTAGCAGTGGAGTCATTGAAAGCGAGAGAAACGTATAAATAGGGTTTTGCAACATCGAACTGCCAGAATTATTGGCGGACAACCCCGTGAATTAAAAGCTATTAATTTTCTTTCGTTGAAATCATCGGAAAAAATGGTGAATAATGGTTTTTAACACACTCATCAATTTTAAGGAAAATACACGATCTCAGATAAAATATTTTCAATAGCCTATTGGCACGAAAGGAAATACATTTTGGACTTTTTAAATTCTTCAGATTGACTTGCTTTTAACTCGTATTTAAGATAAACATTGATGCCACGTCTTAAAAAACGAAATCGTTCGAATGAAAAATAATTCAATTAATATTTACTAATTGACGTGGCTGAGGCCAAAAAAGAAACCTATGAGAAAACAAAGAAGTATTGTACATCATTCATTTACATCATCGAATCCGAGCATAAATTAGCGTCTTGTAGATATTGAATAGATGAAATAACGATACGATAGCTTTAATTATTTAATTGAAAATATCGCTTGTAACCGAGACGATAGGTGAATCAATGAAATTAAACAGGATGAAAAGTGAGTGAATGCCTGAATCAGCGTATGAGAAAACAACTGTAATATAATATGATAATGATGAATGATTAATGATTATTACAACTAGTATAGTTTTTCCGCGAATACGTGTTTAAAACCCCCCCGTGTTATCGAAGAAAATGAATGTGAGGAGGAAAGAAATCATATCGTAAACATAATGAATATTTTACAAATAAATGTAGATAGACATTCAGAATTTTTCGAACGAAAACACAATGGAAAGAAGAAAAAAAATCCACCTCCTTATGCCTCCCTATCCAACAATTCCGAGACATCCTATATCATCTTTGAAAAAATAAAAAAAGTGAATATGTTACGATCAAAAGAAAATATTACAAAGGATTCTGTCATTTCTGTAGTGAAAATAATGTATTTAAAGATGAAAAAATATCTAATAGTTTATTGATTTGTATTATCAGTTTTTGAATTGTATAATAGCATAAAAATTATCCTGTACATTGCATTAATAACACGAGCACTATTGTTTTAAAGAAAAAAATTGTACGTTTACGATTATTATACGAAGATAAAAAGAAAGAAAAAATAAATAAGGTATACAAAAAACAAAATCATGAGCTGATGAATGAGTATAATAAATTTTATTGTTAATTATTCAATAAAATTATTAATTTCCGTCAGACGAGTTTCGTTCACTATTCTTTCTTACTTTCACTTTTATTTTTTACTTAAACCTCTGATTTACTGGAGAAAATGTAAATAATTTATTGTTGGAATAAAGAAGAAGAAAATGTCAATTCAAATGATTTTTTTAAAATCATGACAGCTGATTCAATCATTTACCTTGGTTTGTACGTGCAGAGATTTAAATTATAACACACATAAGATAATCATTATTTTTTATCCATTGTGAATAAATTTACTTACTTCATCCGGCCTCCATTACTGAGCAATATCTCCTGTCGGTATTTTACCACCATCCGAGACAGCATTATTACATTTATTAAAAAAATAATAATAATAAAAATCGAAAGAGCAAACTTTTTTGCATCTGGTGAAGAAATGAAAATAGTGAATGATTCTCGATCGAGATAAATAAAAGACTCAAAGAAATTACTGAAAAGAAAAATCGTACGTTTCTCCTTTTTATTTCTTTAACCATTAGTTTTCATCATAAAAATGGCATATTCCATAGTTAAAACTATCAGCACTGACTGAAATAATAAAAAAAAAATGTCGCCACAGATCTCCAAATTCAATGAAACGGTAATTTTCCTAAAAAACTCCAGGGGAATACAATAATTATCTTTTGCTCATTATTAAATTATATTACCTGTGCTTGACACTTAAAATAAATTCATTTAGTTGTTTTTTCTTTATTATTAATCATAATTAAGTTACTCTAGAATTGGATGTTTGTTACTTTTTCCTCATCATTTGGCAACTGACACATTTCAGCAGAATTTACTTAATATCATTGATCAATATCGTTGCTGATTTTTCCATACTTGTTCATCATGCTACATTCATC